GCAGCTTGATCGAGAACGGGAGAAAGATTGCTGCTTTTGTCCCTAATGATGATTGTTTATTTGTTTACACTATATTGAAGAAAATGTGAGTTTAACTTGTTCGATTACCTTTTCTATATTTCTCGTTTATGGATGTAATGTACATGCAGTTTTGTTGTGATTAATGAATGCATATGAATCTTGTATTTATAGGACGAGGTGTTGTGTGTATAAGTGTAATTTTAGAATTTAAGTGTCTGCTTTGAGTAAATAAATAACGAAATGACAAAATAAAAAAATAGCCTACAAAATTTGAATCTAGTTTTAAAGTTCAATGGGGTGCTTGTTTACAAAATACTTCTGTCACATTTAATTCATACTCAAAATGTAACTAAACTTTAATCAACTCCGTTATCTTTAATATTATTCATATAATTGAATAAAACAATTCAATCATTTTTACGCATCACGTTAAATTTAATTCATATTCATCTATTCGTATAATTTTAATTAACTATCACTTCACATCAGATCAACTTTAATTATTTTATTTATTATTATTTTAACATAAATTCAAAATTTCACTAACAACTAATCATCACACCTTTTTGAAAATTAACTTTGGTTAACATAAAAGAACTCATTTTGAGCATATATATTTGTATCCAAGCACGCGAACAAAGAAATAACTTGCAAATCTTGAATGAAAATTTAAAAGCTAACTGCCTGGTTGGTTAAAAATTATTTGGTCACTTCTAACCAGATAGTTTTATGCAACTAAAATTTAACTCAATTCAACTTTCAGTATTATTAATATAATTGAATAATATCAATCAGTCATCCCCACACATCCACATTAATTTACTATTCATCCACTCGCATTAAACTCAAGATCCAACTCAAATCCAGCGAATCAACTTTTTCGAAAATCACTATTTATCCACTCACATTAAATTCAAATCTCACTCGAATCCAGCACAATCATTATTCCCAAACCGGTTATCCAATAACTCTAATCAAATCCAAAATAATTTATATTCAATCGAGACCCTTGAGCGTTCGCTTTGAATATTCGTGAAATGTTGTCCTGCACTACATTGTGCTCTCTTGGAAAACCTGAGCCAAGTTTTTACATTGTGCTCTCTTGGAAGACTTGAGCCAAGTTTTATGGCTTTGCGAATATTCGAAGGCGATGTCATATACTTCAAAAACGAAAAGGGAAGGGTTATGGCCACATGAACAGAGAACAAAAGTGTTACACTTTTGAATTTATGAAAGTGATAAAAATATTCCAAGGCGATATACTTAAAAAAAAATACGAAAAAAAGTGAAGGGTTATTTCATATTTGCATAGAAAAGTGAAAAAAAGGGCTATACTTTCCACTAAGAAAGTGATAGAAGTTCTCAAAGGCATTGCACTTTTCTTCCATGGCCGTGCAATGTTTAATGAGATTGGTGAATGATTGATTGAGTATCAAAAGCCACAACTAAATGAAAAAATAGAGAGGGTTATAAATGATCAAGGGAAGAAAAATCCAACATCTAAAGAAGATTAACTTATATCTTTGGACTAGTATTTAGTAATTCCATATATAAGGATGTCGATCGTCGATCGATTGTTTGAATTTGCTAATTTTGAATTTTAAAGTCTTTTTTAGGGTTATCAAAATATATGAGAGCAATTTAGATGTAAAAGACACATGAAATAACGACTGTTTATTCATTGATAAGCGCTTCAACGAACTTGACTTTCAAATTCCTGATCACTTTCTTAGGTGATTCTTTTTAGTGAGTGATTGTTGTATATATTACCGCGCACGATTTCAATATGTACAAAATCTAATCATCTATCTACTCCTCATCCTTTTGAAATTTATTGAATCTCTAGTTATCTATATATATATATATAATTACTAGTTGATAAAACATTTAATAAAACATATTTACATTTTCTCCAAAAAGAGTTACATTTTTTTTATTAATTACCCACTAATCTGCTAAAATCGTTACACCTTAATATATATATTTTTATTATTTATTTTTTGGACCAGTTACTAAATTAATTCTAAATTTGGTAGCAAAATATTCAAATGTGTAACGGCTAATGTTGGAACTTAAAGTTGATTGAAATATTCAGAACTGTAATCGTTATATTTGGTTGCATTTGGAAGAAAAATATGATTGGCACATATTTTTTTCCCTAAAAATCAGAAACACCAATAATTTTTTTTATTTATGTTAATTTTATTAATATATGCCACAAATATATAAATTGTTTTATTCATGTTACTGAATTAATTAACGATCATAGAAATGGATGCTAAGGGAGTGAAAAGCACAGCTGAGGATCGATGTAATTGAGATTTTGAATGATAAAAATAACTTAAGAAAAAGTAATAAGTTTTATATGATAGAATTACATGTCTAATTAATAAGTACAAACAAAAACGTGTTTTATATATGTGCAAATGCACAAGATCAAATACTAATGTACTTGAAGGCATGGATATTCATGTTATCAAGTCCTTGGTTCTTCTTATATGTTTGCTTATATAAAAAATAAAAATAGAATTTTAAAATAATATATATATATATATAAGAAGTTTTGTTTTTGTATTGTATTTTACTTTTTTAAAAGTATTGTTATTTTTATTTAAAATAACATCCCTCACATATACGAAGAACCAAGGAAATACATTATTGCCTTTTTAAATATATTGTTATTTTTTTTAATATTTTGTATTGTATTATATTTTTATTCATGAAAACATATATTTTTTATATATACAATATGAATGTCAAATCGAAGGAGGTTAATTTAATATCACATATGTGAAAATTTGATAACAAACATAAAAGTTATCAAATTTTAAAATATTTTTATAATTTAAGTTAGTCAATTATTTTACAAGTTAAAGTGTTTAATCAGCTACTCTAAACAGCAGAGATCGATACAAAACTCTACGAAATATCATAAAATTACACAAAAAAATTAGGGACATCAATGACCATAATTAAAGTTATAATATAAACTTAAATTCCATATAGAATTAAAGTTAGACAATAATGCTAAAGAGCCAACAGTTGGCTCCGTTACGGAGCCAACAACCAATGAGACAACTCCATGTGAGGCTGTCCCACAATACTTTAATGTGGGGCTGTCCCACAATACTTTAATGTGGGACAGCCCCACATGGAATTGTCCAATTGGTTGTTGGCTCCATAACGGAGCCAACTGTTGGCTCCTTAACATTACTGTAAAGCTAGAATGGAAAAGTTCAAAGCATTTTTTCTAAGGATTATATATTTCCTAATTTTACTACTTATGTTAATTATCAGTCCAAATAAAATTTAAATTATTCGTTTTCAATGATAAATGTTGCTTATGCTAATTGTAGAGTGAACTAAAGTAACTTAGTGACAGTTCACAATATTGAACGCGCAAATTGAATTTAAACAGTTTAGTGACAATTGACAACATTATTTAGTGAACTTACATAATAAATTGAAGTAGCGTAGTTGCAGTTCACAATACCACAACATTAATTAAAACGTTTACTGAACTGCTGTAGTTAGTGACAATTCACAAAAATCGAATACAGCGAAATGATCGGACGCTCGACCACATATTGATCATACACGTGTCATTTTTTGTAGATAATCCAACAGTCAAAAAATAGTCGAGCGTAGGTTGCATTTTACAACAAAAAATAATTTAAATTAAAAATTCCAAAAACACGTACAGTGCATTTACTAAATTACTATTTAGTTGAATTTGAAAAACCCAGAAATAAAATAAAAAAAATAGAAAAGGTCAGACAAAGTTTAGGGGCTATTACCTAAGATACCCCTCGCCTTCTCAGAAGCCGCAAGGCCAATTCCGTCAAACTACACCCACTGAGTTAACGCCGTAACAACCGTTAAGACAATTGCTTTACCCCATCAACGCAGGTCCTGACGGCTCCGTTTAATCCGTTAGATTGCAGATATTTTCGACGAAACTGACCACGTGTCCCCCCACTTTGAGGCCTCGAATCTGTTTTGATTTGGCCCAAAGCACCAGAGCTCGCGCATTTAGATTGTGCACACGTCATCTTGCCACATCAGCATTTTGATCCCAACTGGCGCTCCGAAAATCCTACGTGTCGTCCTCCGAGCCTGAAGATCAGCCACGTCATCGTCCCCAAGCACTATAAAGAAAAAGGAAAAAACACAGAAATTTTCTCGAAAGCTTTTGAGGAGAAGAAGGAAAAAGAGAAGAATAATATATATATACGCCATTATCGAATTCTTTAATCGAAGCTCTGATCTGTAGCCAGTTCATCTCGCTTCGTTTCGATTTTGAGCGTGATTTGTTTGGAGTGTGCTCAGTTTTTTATTTTCGGGCTGGATTCGAACAGTTTGGGCGTCGATTGGGCCTAAAATTGGTGAGTTTTGAAGGGAATTGTGGTTTTTTTATGGAATTTATCTGTTTAATTTCAGTAGAAATGTGCATTCCCCTTTATATTTTGCGTTTTTTTTGGTTGAGTATTCTTTGTGTTGTGTGTTGTGGATGTTGTTTGTTCTCAGGCGATTTTCTTGTTTTCGTTTTTGTTTTTGTGTTTCGTTTTTTGTTTTGCTCTGTGTCGAGTGTCTATTTGTGTTGTGTATGTACGTGGGGTTAGCTCATTTTTGTGGTACTTTGAGGGATAATTGTTTTGTAAGTGATGGAGCTAGGGTTTTGTTCTGGACGGTATGCAGGCAGGGCTGATGCTCTATTCTCTTGTGTGCAGAGTGTGTACTAGCTTCCAATTAAGAACGAGGAGTCTGGACTGAAAAAAGTCACTATTTTTTTTCTTTCTGGGTGAAATTTAGTGTTGTTTGTCTAATTTTTCTTACAATTATTGTTTGTTGCACTTTGAATTGTTCAACATCTTTTTTTTTTTTTTTTTG